ATTACTTCTGAAGAAGGAAAACAGTCTGAAAGTTAACTTTGAGCAAATATTTTGCCTTTCATACCTCCAGGACTACCGCATACCATCCCGAATTTCATGGATTAATGTAGCGGCAGCACAGAACTATAAAAGTTACCTTGAAGTGCCATTTACAGCAAAACAAACTTGAGTAGACAATTTAACATTTGTTCTTGGATCTGTACTTCTGTGAAAGAAGATATAGGATACTCTTTAGCCAAGCTCCTTTGTAGAAGTCCCCTCCATTTACCTGGAGAGACCATTACCAAGATTCCAATTGCCACACATTCAGATTTGGTTCAACCTTTTTGTGATGACTATGCATGGGAACAAAACTGTCTTTTTTCAAAGCATTTTTCAAACTGCTTGTATGTCCACTTCATCTTTACAACCAGTTTATTTTGGTCCTTATGTTATCAAACACCGAGCACCAAAATCCTTCGACATAGAAATTGATAGAACTGTCAAAAGAATATCAAGTAATAGCCTAAAACCATGTTTTATTCTGAATGACAACACAAATCAGTCAGTGGAAGCTTCCATGTCCAAGAATGATGAAAGTTTAGCCTCCCCAGTGCAAACCTCTGAAGGGAATCTTCCCTACAAATGATCTATATGCTACTACATGCAGTGTAACAACTGTCAGGTTCCTGCTTCATTTAAAAGATTGTCACCTAATCATTTTTACTGGTGTTGAATATCAACATTCAAAGTTAGCATAATCCAATAATATAAAAATATTAATTCACAGAACTGTAGTAATTTACAACTGTAGTAAAAACAAGATACATATATAGAACAGCTTAATTCATTTTAACTTATATTTTTTTAAATACATCTCAAAACTAATTGCTAGATTCTAAAAATTAAACATTATAATTCAGACTCATAATAAATACAGAAAACTATTCTTAATAACTAGAATGGGAGTGCGTAGAGCCTCCTAGATTGTTTCTAAAACCCCTGTACTAATCTCTTGTGAAGTGCCATCTCCATTATTTTTCAATCTCTTGTAAAGTGCCATCTCCATTATTTTTCAAGATTCGTACACATTTCTACACATGGAAATTAAGTACATTTAAGGACCTTTCAGGATCATTAAGGAAAAAATTCAGGACCTATAAGGAAATGAAAACTGAAAAATTCAATTAAAGATATTAACTATGCTTGAACTTTGCTTTCGTAATGCCATCCAAAGAATAAAACAAATCCTTAAGTGTAGGATGCATTATTATTAAATATAATTTGATAAATATAATTATAAAACAAATTCCAGAATAAAATCAACATTGTAAAATTTATCACGTAGCATTAATTATTTTATTCTTATAATAGAAGGACAAACTTTAAAGATTAGTGACATTTTATTTACTTTTACTAATAGTTAGCTCCATGGTGATTTTTTTCTTTTATATCTCAGTGCTCAGTCTAGAGGTTTAGTAAATAGCAAGCAGATTTGATGTCAAACAGCATTAATTAAAATGAAAAGTAAAATCATAATCAGCATGATTCATAACAGAAAACTGGCTGTTGCCATTGCTACTGCTTGCCTAGAAAGAGACCTGCTGATCAGAACAGACCTGAATACCTGATGTTGGCATGATTGGCAAGTTTTGGAAGTTAGTTATGCTCTGTCTGTCTGACACAGGTAGTATTGTAGCTTCGTGTAGAGTTTCTGGAGATGTAATCCAGTTAATATACTTTAAGGTTACAATAAGCCACTAAAGCACCAGAGATGAAAAGTTGTTTTGCATTATTTTAAGGTTCACTGGCTGTAAAGAATATGTTTTATATTAATTTTTACATTTTTATTTTGTATCTTGTGACCACAGTAAGGATTAATGAAAGGCAATAACTCACTATGGCATGCATAGATAACTTTTGGTGAGCAATTAGTTACAAATAATTAAATTATATAGTTAGATACTCTTGGTCATTATAGATTCACAGGGCCATTATTAATATTTTATATATTTTTTTAATATTTATTAAAAAGGCTCTATTAAAATCACAGTCTAAAACTATTTTACAGTTTAAAACACATCATCTATGACATAGTTTTCTTAACCAATGTCCCACTAGTTTCTCCTAGCTTGTTAGTCTTGAAAATACACCTATGACACCTTTTATGGTAAAAGTCCAACAAACCCCTGACAGATATGAAGCAAATTATCGCTATGTCTTAAAGTAACTACATAGTCAGATAAAGGTTTATACAAACCCATTTATTTAAACAGAACTTAGAATATTAATGAATATTCTTAGACTAACAAAATCAACTACACCTCGTGGTGATGTAACTAAACAGGAACAGTCAAATTCAAATTAAAAGTGTGGACTAGAAACCAAAGGCTACACAATTTAATTTTAATCTGAGCTGGCTCAGTAATTCGATCATTGTAACAAACTCAAATGTCAGCAGCACTAACGCAAAACTGAATAATTACAAATTATCAAAGTTGGCAGGAACTAATGCAGCATCCAAGCAGAGGCCAGAAATATGTTCTGCACAAACCAAAAAATCAGTTTAAATCCACCAAAGCATCAGTTTAAATACTATCTAACAGACTTGCATTCTGGTGAGGAAACAGAAAAAAGTTATAGTAAAAGTTGAAATAATAAACAACTGGTTAATTTACATAATAATAACTGTATATATCTCTGAAGCATTGTTTTCTTTTTCTTTATGTATTCAGTTTCTTTCCTCAATAAGTTTCCACCTCATTTTAGAATTTTTGGATTTAATCAAAGACTTCTGTTATTCTAAAAAAATGCATGTATTTAGAATGTACAGAAGCTGCTAATTTTATTTCTTTAGCAATACGAACACAGAGAATAAATGTGAAATGATACATGGTTAGAGCCAGTGGGGCAGAATTTAGTAACATACCAAGTAACAATATCTAGAAATGGCAAAACTTTTAGAATTTAGGGCAGGCACTGGGAGAAGAATTTAGAGAGGCACTAGGTAGCAGAATTTAGGACCCATCTGGTGGGAAAATGCCTAGCACCAGCCTTGTGCATGATGATGCAACTGAGACATACAAGATGAATCTTTTAAATTTCCGGTTTTCAATTTCTTTATTAATCAACAAATTTCCTTTTTATAAGATGCCTATCCATATGATAACATTCAGAAGCATTTTTGATATTTTCCATGCTGGTCTTTAGTGAAAAGAAAGAAAAGAAAGGGAAAATGAACATGTTAAGAAAGACTTCTAAGATCAGAAATTAAACATTCAATTTTTTTTCACTGTTCATCCCCAAAATTCTCCAATAAGTAAGAAATTCATTACAAATCCTGTAAAATAAATCCATTATGTGCTAATTTCATAAAGACATTTTTCTGGAATCTTCTAGAATCATAGGACTACCAATCATACGAAAAATGACCCCTACTAATTCCGTAACAGCAAAAAAGCCAGAAGTATTGGGGGGGGGGGGGGAATTCAGTGAAAAAGTGCAAAATGAGTTTTATAGAGAAAACTGATGTATTCTGAAACAATTGCATGGCGGGGAAAACTTTTACCATGAAAAAATAAAATAAATAAATAAAAAAGACTTTAAAATAATTACATGTCATTTAATTTTGCTAAGAATTGTTTCATAAATTGTGTTTTATAGCATTTATTACCTTGTTTATTTTTCAGATTGAAAATATTTTAATAACAAGTCCCCAAAATGAAAAGTAATGTCACTTTATGACAGGAAAAAAAAAAAAATCTTTTATTTTAATGTTATTTCTCAAATATAACTAATATATTACCATTATTTTAATGAAATTTAATAATATTACAATGTTTTAAAAAAATTGTAGAAAAACTCACAAATTTCTGAATTAAAAATTTTGTACAAAAACTGATCTTCAAATTGCCAAAATACTGATATTTTGCCATATTAGGAGCCATTTATTAAATTTTATAATTTAATTGGCTTGAAATGAAAAATTCACATTTCCAAAAGGGAAAAAACTGTTTAAGAGCTCTTTAAAAGAAAAAAAGAAATTATTCCGAAACCCTTCTTGCCTAGAAACTCAAATACTGCATTGTTTTCATCAGAAATAGGAGAAAATTCAACTGACAACCTATGAAACACATATTTGTCAGTAAATCCCCAGAAACATTCCCCCAGTAAGCTAACTGACACTCAGAATGGCAGTCATAAAAATAAACAGAAATTTCAGATGATTAAAATTATGGACCTTCAGCCAATTTGGCCAAAATTAAGTACTTCTAAGGATCAAAAACTGATTCCAAAATCTTCTAAGGACTTTTATTCCTCTGAGCACCATGACTACTTTTATCCAATCGTGATTTTTTTATTACTTGAAATATATTAGCTTATAATTTAAGAAACTTTGCTTTCTTACTTTCTTTAATAATAAATGCCATCTTAAAAATGTAAGTTTATGAAAACAGAGACTAAAATAAGTAAATATACAAATTTAGTTAATAGAGGCCATTTAAATATAGGTCTTCATGACGGATCCAAAAACTGCACCACTTAGAGGGTTAAGGACTCTTAAGGACCGTATGAACCCTGTTTTTATTCCTGTTATCAAGTTCCCGAATCCTTATTTATTTAAAGTATCTAAAGGCAGTTGAAGGTTAAAAGAATATTTTAGCATTCCCTTCTCCCTCACAATCAACTTTAACATGACACATTTGATGTTACATTACATGATACAACACTACTACATTAATCATGATCATACAGGTTTTACTGACAAAGGATTTGTGCCTACAATACCATTTACCATACACAATGTGGAAAAACGTATAAATTACTATTATAGTAATTTATACGTTTTTACTATTATAGTATTTTATAAGATATAATTTTACTTCTGAAAGAGAAAGCTTGTTCTCAGTTACTAACATAACACAGATTACAGAGACATAAATAAAATAGCATTTAAACCAGTTATTATTCTTATTATTTAAATACATTCTTAAAAGTCCATTAATACTTATTCAACTTACTGCATTATTTTTATATGCTGCGTAATGCAAAGGAGTTGCTCCACTACCATCAGCACTTAAATGACTTGCTCCTTTGTTCAGAAGTACGGATACTTTTTCTACTAACCCTGTTACAATAATTATAATTAATATATCAAAAATGAAATAATTATAATCAGTACTCACACTCAAAAGAAATATTTACAACTTTAAGTCCTTAGCCATGCAAAATGATTTAAATTTTCTTTAAGAAATAAATATTACCTTTCTTAGCAGCCCAGTGCAGTGGAGTACAAAAAGCATTGTCCAAAATATCAATATTACAGTCCTCTCTAGAAGCCTGTCAAAATTATATAACTATTAAATTACTTCATTGCAAACACACACACACATGCACAAAAAGAGAGAGTGAATAAGTACTTTAATTAGAGGCTTCTATGCACAGAAAATTATTAGAAGCTTACATGTTGAATTTCACTCATAAAAACATATTAACCTGCAACGTTTTAAGTTTCATTCATTTATGAGGTGCTACTTTTCTTTTGTATTTATTTTGCTGTATCATTTACACTTTGCAGCAGAAAATCTACACCACGAAATTGCACTGGAATATAATGATATGTGACATGCAAGTATGCTAAATCTGGCTATGCAGTTTGTTAAACATGCATAGTCACTAAATAAATGTGCACACTGAAAATGAGCAAGCCAACAGATACGAATGGTTGCATAACCACTATTTATGTAAATTTGGATGAATTTATGTAGAAGCACTGCTTGCTGAAGCTAAGGAGAATGCTTCATAGACTCATGCAATAAGGTCACAAGCAAAGAAGCAAATTCTGAAGAGCACAAATCTCCACCTACAAGAAGTAGAGTAATCATACTGCCAAGCTCAACAGTCTGCACAATGAAATAGTTACACCATGTTGCAACCATTGACTCTAACATGTCATCCATAAATGGAGGAAGTGCAATGGCAGGCCATGAAAGACAACTCAATGCAAAGACCTAACCACTGGCATACTGCCACAACACTGACTGTTATACTTCCACCATCCTGCAGAACCTACCCACATTTTCGAAATGTTTGGTGCCACAGAGAACCATTGGTCGATGACTGATGGAGGGCAGACAGCACTTCCAGCACCCCTTATGATGCCTACCATTAATCCTGGCTAAATTTGGCAATAATGTTTGATATCGTATTGCAACTGTGCCCAATGGACTGAAGTCATTACTTTCAGCAATGAATTCCCATTCTCGCTTCCTTGGGTGACTGCTGCGTTCATGCATGAGAGGTCATGTCAATGCTGCTCACCCCATGTTGCTGCCGAGTGGCATATTTCCATCATATCTGTCATTACTGCATCTTAGCCATCCTAACCAGCCAACAGTGTCACAGACAACCTACAGCCTGTCATAGTACCCATGTTGTTGGGTCTGCTGCAGGCTATTTTTTTTTTCAATATGATAATGCTCATCCACATGATTATAAGCTTTGTCCACATGGTCATCCCAATTGCTCACTCCCTTTCCCACTGAACAGGTCTAGGACATCATTAGCCACTGGTTCCAGCAACTATAAAATGTGCCTGACCTGGGTGCACAATTGCAGAGAATCTGACTGGACAACATTAGATGTTTGTAAACATTCATGCATAAATGCCCAAGGCAGTTCTATGCTATATTTTCTGCAACAGTTCTAGGCATTTCTGCTACAATAAATGATGTTATTGATTTTCCAAGCATTGTCACATTTCCCTTTTTGTCTCTCCCATGTTCTTGATCAGTTTCTTCACAATGCACTGATTTTCCTTAAGTTTGTGGTACAGAACATATTTTAATAATCAACAACTAAAATAAAACTTTTTAAAGTACATATCATACAAAACAGCAAATTCATCAATGGTGAAATCGCCATCATTTCATAATAACTCTACAATAGACATTTCTCTCTAAGTGTCAAAAGTGCCAATATAATAATAGCCATTAATAAAACAGCACCAATTCAAAAACTAAATGAAAAAGCTATAGCTATTTAAAAAATCCAAATATAACTACTCAGATTATCCATATTATATAAAAAGGGTAAATATTAACAATAAATATGCTTTTAGCCCATATACGGCACTGCTGATATATACTTCTGTATTTATTTGTACATATCCAGAAAAAGTCCACTTCTGTTCCAAACTCCCATCAGTTATGTTATGTTGAAGAACTAAGAATTACACTAGACTGAAAAAAAGTGATTAAGTAAGAACATATTTAATGAGTTATTCATGTAATGTAGCAGGTATTCAAGCCTGTTGTTATGCTGGATAATAATATTCATTGTTATGCTGGATACATTATGCCTATTGTTATGTTGAATATCGATATTAATTGTTATCAGTTTTAGAATTAGGTTTTTATTTTGTATGTATCCATAGCAAAGCATATAAATATGCAGAAAAGGTTTTGAAACTTGTAATAATGTCTAAATCTTCTAAGTTAGTAGAAGTGTCTTAGTACGAAATAAAATCTTTAGTGTACAACTATAAGAATCTTCTGTGTTACTTCTATTGAGAAGCTACAACAAATTAACTGACGTCCGCGACAGAAATTGGAGTAAATGAGCAATGTACAATTTGAATTTTAACATTAAATATTTGAGCTTTTGGTTTCTCATAAAGCTTTGATATTTTATTAGGGATTCTTTAAAGTTACAATGTAAAACTTTACGTACAACATTTATGAATACAACAAAGGCCATTGCGTAAGAAGTTACAAAAAAGAAGGTGAATGTTTCCATACTTCGTGAATTGAATTTACAGTTACATGATGAATTCCAGCGCCTAGAAAGTGCTCAATAAGAAAAAGTACATAATGCAAATTTGCAATTTTTGAAGGCATAGCTGAATTTGAGTGGCTGAAAATCACTGTGGATGCAGATGGCAGAATGCAAATATTGTATGTAGGCTATTTTTTTTCAACCTTCGATTTCAACCGCCTATAAATTAAAAACGGGCATATATACAAAAAAGATTTTATTTCCAAAAGTAATGTACAAGTTATTTCTCTACATCAGGGTTTCTTAAACTGTGGGTCACAATCCCCTGCTGTCGCCAAAACTTTTAGAAGTATTGATAATTTTTAACTTATTATAATAATTTTACAATTACCAAATATTTTTACATTATGTATCTGAAAATACATAAAGATGAGAAAATACAGACAAAGAAAAAATGAAAATGTTTCAACACATTCTTTTTATAATATAAACGTTTATTTTCCATGCTTTGCACATGACGCTGTCATTTTGTCTGTTGCTTATTTAAAATTTCCACATTGTTCCATGTCTTAAAATTAGAAACTAAAGTTAATGACCTAAAACTGCAATAGTATATTACAGTACAAGTGAAAAAATTGACAGTTTCACTCACGCGTGTGTCGGATTTGCGCAATACTTATGCGGTCCTATAAAATTTTGGTAAATATTATGGGGTTGCAGAAAAAATCTCAGAGATGAAAGGGGTCACAACTGAAAAATGTTTAAAAAACCCTGCTCTACATAATCACCTTGACGACTGAGGCATTTGTCATATCTGTGAACAAGCTTTGCAATAGCCTCTTCATAAAATGTTCCCGCCAATGATTGAAAGTGCGTTGTGGTGGTTTATTTGAGCTTCACATCACTTTGGAAGCACTGGCCCCCCAAGCCACGGATTCAGTTCAGGGAAAAGATGAAAGTCACTTGGCACTAAATCAGGACTATATGGTGGGTGTTTGAAAATGTCCCATTGAAATTGCTGACGTTGGGTTACACGAGCGCAGTAAGGACGGGCATTGTCTTGAAGCAGAACTATTCCAGAAGTCAGCATGTCTCTTCATTTGTTTAGAATAGCTCTCTGTAAGCGTCACAAAGTGTCACAATATGAATCTGCATTGATTGTTGTTCCAGGCTGCATAAACACCACAAGCAACACACCTGTTTGGTCTTAAAAAACAGCTGCCATAACCTTACGGTAGTTGAAGTTTCATTTGAATTTTGTGAGAGAATTTGTGTGCATCCATTGTTGTGATTGCCGTTTTGTTTTGGGCGTGTCATATTGAACCCATGTCTCATCACCTGTCACAACAGATTTTTAAAAAAATCTACTCCATTAGTACTGTAACGGTCAAGAAACTCCAACGCTGCAGCCATTCGTCGAGTTTTGTGGTCATTAGTCAACTTTTTGTGGGCCCAGCGAGCGCAAACTTTTTTGTAATGCAACTGTTCAGTAAAGAAAGATGACAGGGAAGATATTGAAACTTCATCATCAAAACAGAAATTTCATCGATAATTCACTTATGATGAGCCTTTGATTTTCCTTAACCGCTTGATCAACTCATTGAACAATATCATCTGTAGCAAGACCCCTTCTTCATGCACATAAGTTCAGCCATCTTTAAACTTTTGACACCATTCATGAACAACACCACTCATAAAACTGTCTCCATACACTCGACACATTCTTTGATGAATTTCTGCTGCACCCTTCTGCCTGCAAAAAATGATTTTGGTTTGGTTTGGTTTGGTTTATTAGATTACGGCAAAGCACTCGAGGGCTTTCTGCCTTAAGGGAGGGATGCCTTCGTGGAGGACTTTTTAAGGGAAATTGGCTCGTATACACGTTACACATGGGGAAAACCACGAAAACACCCATGCAGCCAGCCCGTTCGCGGGATTCGAACCTCGGACCGAACTACCAGTGTTAAGCGATGTTATCGCTCGGCCGCTGGTGGGCCGCCTGCCAAAAATGAATAACAGCCCGCAATTCAAACTTGGCAAAAGAATCAATAGCGACAGCCATGTTTATGTGGCTGCAACTCAACAGGAAATGGCATGTTGAACTCACCAGTATTGGAGCGTATGAAGGGGAAGATGCGCAGTCACCTACTATGCAAACTAATCACTTGCCTGGCCATCGTACTGTGCGATCAGAGTTTTGAAACAAGTTTTGAAGAGTTTACAGTCAACAGTCAGCATCCAAGTCAGTACTGCTCACAGGTTTCACATGAAGGGACTGTACACTCAGGTAACAAGTGTTAGTGTTCCACTAACTGCTAGATCTTAGAAGGGCAAGATTCAAATGGTGTCATCAACATTTCAATTGGGCTATCTCAGAACAGCACTATGTCCTGTTCACAAATGAGTCCATATTTGCCCCGGAATCAAAAAAGATTTAGAAAGAGGCACATGTAATCAAGCCCAAAATATCATCGAACATCACACATTTAGTAGTATCAGCAGTATTGTATAGGCTCAAATTTCAATCACATATTGAACTCAAATTGAAATCCTTAAAAACAGTTCTGCAGGGTATTGGGAAAAAAACTAATACCCCATTGTGAAACTCTACACTGCAACAGTTGGAACTGATTTCTCCTTATGGATGATAATGCTTGTCCCAATTGAGCCAACATCATTAACACGTATCTGGAGAGTGAGGGCATTTCTGGCATGGAGTGGCCACCACATTCCCCTGACCTTCATTTGATTGATAACCTTTATGATGTCCTTGTACATGCTCCCTCAGCACATTTACCTCAGGCTAAGACTGTTGGAAACTACTTTAATATTAATCCCACCATTAGCATTTGTAATGGTTTATCACCTACTAAACACATGGGCAATTAACAAGTTGACTGCCATGCGCATTTTACGTGGTTTGCCAATGATGTCAACTTGAAATTTTTATTATGCGATGTATATTATGTTGAAATATTATCTACAGAAGATAATGTGAGTTATAGAATCGTGCTTAATGCATTTTTTGTGACGGAGGTCGCCTATGACCCCGAAACATCTGTAGATCATTTTTGCAATTTACAATTTAAATTCTTACGATTTATTATTCTTCAAACCATTATAGTAAGAATGGTACTATTTAAAAATTTTCAGTATCGATATTTACTCTAAATACGTATTTTACTATTGGTCACGTCATTGGTGACACCCACTTCGCTGTAGCCAAGTCGAGTGCCAGTCATTGGTGACCTCCACGGCAGTCAACATGTTAATGTAGAGTTTGTGTGAAGATGGAGGGTCATCACATACCTTATTAAGGTAAGTTTTGTTTGTTCGTTTTTTAGCCTTAAACATCAATTTATTAATGAACCAAATGAGATGCCATTATATAATTTAAAAATATTAAATAATATTTTTATCTTTGAACATAATGCTCATTGTTTTCAAGCACATTTCTAAAACTCAGATGCAATCCATCTTAAAGCTTTACTTTTCCACCTTCGTTAATTTTACAGTTGTATATTTAACATTTGGAATACAAACAGAAGACTATATAATAATTAATGGGCACAATGTGTACTGAAAACAAAAACAAGAGCATATATATAACTTTTTTAAAAAATCCTATACACTTATATTAATTTTCACGGCATATAAAGAGTAAAAACTACTGTCAAAGATATAAGCATACCAAATAATGAACTATTTCAATACTTCCAGTTGCAGTAGCAAGATGAAGAGCAGACCTCCCTCCATAATCTTGCCAGTTAACAAGATTACGCTGTTTTGCCTAAAAGTAGATAGATGAATATGTAAGTATCAGTTGCATTACCTGAGCAGATGTTTTTACGTTATAGCCATTCATATTAACTCGGGAACATTTTTTGGCAATAAAAGAGATACCATCATTCCCATTTACTTCCATTTTGCACCCTTTTCCAGGATTTCGCTTGTTTTTACTTGTAATTATTAAACACATTTCCACACAGTATTTTTCTATAAATTCATTTTTTTCATGGCAAACCTCCCCAGTACTGGAAACAGTCATCCAGCATGCTTCTTTTGCTCAGTATCGACTTCTACAATTTCATTTTCTCAGCCTAACTTGCAATTTTTGTTCTTGTGCACTAAAATGCAAATACTTTCTTTCATATAAATAATTACACAATTGAAAAAACAAATGAAAATGAACCATAATGTAGACACGAAAGGTATCAAATTTTAATATTTTAAGAAAGACTTGTAGAGTTGACATTGATCTGGAAACTAAATTAAAGTCCTACAGACACTACTAGAAAAGATAGCAAGTTATTGTTATGTGTGGAAATATTATAACAAAGTCCTGAGAGGATCTAAATAACCTCTTTACTTAGTACTGAACACATAAAACAAAAGGCACAATTTTTGCTACAGACAAACCACGATTTGTGGCTTTAAAATTTAACACGCTTAAATTAGCACACTTAAATTAACACTTAAATTGGCACAAAGTAGTCTAAGACTACACATTCAATACACTAAGCAATAAGCTGACTCAATATTTTACCTGTGCATACGTTTAAAACTTCAGCTAGCAAGAGAGTGCAAAAGTTGGAATAATCACTTTTATATATACAGCTCACTGGAAATTCTAACACTACGACATGAGTGGCAGAAGATCTCTAAGATTCAAAATCCTCACAAAGCTTATTTGCATACTGGTCAGGAATACAGAAGGAAGATATTGTAGTAACGACCAAAATTATAACTTGTTAATTAATATATGTTAAAAACTTATCTTTTATATGAATATTATTACATGATGTTTTTTCAACAGCTCTAAGTTTTATAATCAGAATAACTGTGCAATGACCCTCAAAATCAGAGAGATGGTAAAAATTACTATAATCTAAAATTCAAAGAAATGATTAATTTATAGTTTAGCATATGAGATTTTAAAATTAACAGAAATGTTGGCTCAATTTCAAAGCATTTCATAATCATGATCATAAATTGTTAAGATATTGAAATCATAAATTGTTGTATATTCATAACAATAAAATTATTAGATATAGTAATCTCTGTTGTTCTGATTTTCTAGTCCCTCTAATTCTTAAGGCACAGCAGTTTTAAATCACCAATATATTCCAGCATTTATATGGATGCAGAAATTTCAATCTTGTGAGCTCCAAGATATATTTTGCAAAATAATGCGTATCATATTGATAATTATGTGCCTGATTACTTGGCATAAATATATTATTAATTTACTAATGATCTATATAATAATTTATTTGGAACAATTCACACTACTGGCCATTAAATTTGCAACACCATTAAGGAAAGCAAATACGAAAAAGATATTTAATGTACGTAATAAGTATGGCATGAAGACAAAATGATTTAATTAAGCAGTCTGGGGGTTTACAAAGGTGCAAAAGTAGTTGAAACAGCTTCCAACCATGGCAGCTAAAGTGGCCCTCACCTGGTTAGGCAAGGAGTTGAACTGAGCTTGAATGACAGAAACGGCAACTCATTCTATACTGCTTCAAGTCTATGCCACACTTCAACAATATCAGCTGGAGAGGAGTGGTGGGCCAGTCTCTCAACAATATGGCCAGATGTTTTCAATGAGTGACAGATCTGGAGACCATGCAGACCAGGGCAGCAATCGAATATCCTGTATATTGAGGAATGTCAAAACAAGACATGCAACATGTGGTCTTCCATTATCTTGCTGGAAGACGGCGTTTGGCAGACCATGAAAATAGGGCACAACCACTGGACCTAAGATGTGAGAAATATACTGATTTGCATTCAAATTACCATCGATCCAATGTGCGTCTAATGTAGCCAATGGCTGCCCACACAATCACACCCAGATGCAGGGCCCATATGCCGATATCGAATGCAAGCAGACGACGTGAGGTCTCCTCAAAGCATCTAGACACATATACGGCCATCAGAATATCCAACTTTGTTGTTCAATGCACCAGAATTGCCGTCCTCTCCATGCTTGCATTGTCAAGGGAAGCTGAAGTAATGGTCACCGTGCTAATAGTCCATGCTGCTGCAGAAATCGATGCACTGTACGACCGGTACTGGGTGTGCTGCATACATGCCTATTTCCAAACTAATGGTCTGTGATGTGGTTGTACGGTTTTGCAGAACTGACCTCATCAGATCCTGCATGCTGTTCATTATGACTCTCAATAACCCACTGATTCCATATTTGCATGAGGGTGGTTGGACTTCGACCAGTGCAACGGGAGATATCACAGAACAATAATTCACACTCTCGATAGGCAACAATCCTGCCTCTATTGAATTCCAACACTTGCTGGTAAGCATTTTTTCTTGTTATTTGAGGCATAACACAATATTCTGAGGAAGCTCCGACCTTACAAAATGCTCTCCGAATGAGAAATCCACTACACAACTTTTCTTTTATGCAGTGCTTCAGATGTCATTTCTCCCTCCTGCATTGTCTAAATGCGCCGAAATACTAAATATTTGCACACACCAACCTCTTCTTCCTTTCATGTGATTTTGATGTTCCTCAGATCATTTCTTCCAGGTGTTGCAATTTTAATGGTCAGTAGTGTATTTGGAGTTATTACATTACAAAACTTGCAAGCACGTGCTAAAACTTAACACACATTACTCTACAATCATGAATACAATTTATTAGATGATTTTGTTTTTGGCCGTAAAAGCAGAGGAAGGGTAGATAACAAGGTTTAAATGATGAAAAAAGATAAAAACAGTGATAATACTGTCTGTTCCAACAGGCATCAAAAGGGTAGAAGTCTCAAAACAAATTATTATGCGACTCTCATGCACATGAAAACCCACATGAATAATATACAAGAACAAGCATACATTTATATCCAAAAATTAAACTACAAAGAGGGGAAGAGAATCAATATTTATTTTCAAATTTACCGAAACTTTCACAGATAACAGCATATCTCAAAAGATACTAGCACAGGGAAATTCAAATAAAAAATCAATTAAAAAATGATAAGGAAAAACACAACAAAAAGGTTTTCTGGTGAAGATCTATAAATATGTAAAATAATTAATTTTGCTAGAAATACATGCTCAATAGCATTAATTCAAGCCAAGAATATGATCATCCTATGGTGGTTTGGGGTATCTGTGGCCATTCATGAAGCAGGTACATTCTCCTAAGGAGGTACAGGTTACATGGAGAATCCTGAAAAGAAACTGAACATCTTCCAAATATGTTTCATACATACTTGATGAAATGAAAGGCAAATAATTATGACAGTCATTCCTGGTGAGGCAGTACTTCCAAATCTAAATACCAGCCGATAGAGCAAGCGCTGGAAATCGACACATTATCATTCATAAAAATGTATTTTGCAGCTGTGGGCAACAAGTCCTGTAATTGCTGGATCAAGAATTCCAACTAAATTGTAAATCAAATTTTTATCCACAACAATCTGTCTATCATATCTTCACTATCAGTAGCAATATTTTCTGGATTTAAAATCATACTACAGATTTTCCCATCCATTAGTTGATCGATATTAGGACATACTCATCACAATGGAAAACTTATTTTATATTACCTCATTTATCATGTCTCCACATTTCTTCATAAATTCCATTAAATGAAAAATTTCATGTTTTGTATGTGATACTCCAAATTTGCCGCTATCATCATGAAACTTAGTGTTCAGTATAGTACACTGTTAGCAATGTATCATGAGACTCATGTTATTCGACTTCTATTGCAAGCTGATGAAGTTAAGCCTGAATTAGATTAGTTATTCATTATACTTACGACTATTTTCCACAAATGCTTATTTAAGTCTCAAATAAATAGATTTTCACACATATTTTAAGGCTTATCTTGTGCCGGCATTTGACATTTTGTGGCCCAGTGCAATTTCTAACGATCCGAAATTCCTGTTGCCAAGTGCTTTTCTAAATTCTAAAAATTTTCCCATCCCTAAATTTTATTCCTTGGTGAGATCCTTAAATTCTAAAAAGTTTGCCTCTGCTAAATTCTGCCACCAGCTGCGGTCACACCAGGTCTGGCACCGGCCCAGGCTAAACCAATCAATTATGCTCAATTCGAAGAGCAATAAATGAAACCTTTTGGTTTATGAGTATTATTTACAAAATTTATTTTTTGCTTATGGAAAGAAGTTTCTGTTAAATTTCTTTTTGTCAACATATTCAAAACTTTGCAGCAGAGTTAGCTGAAGTCTGTAATCATCAACAAGCATTATGTCAACATAAAAGGTTACCACGTTCTTTGGTATTAAATTAATAATACTCGTATTTAAAAAAATTGTTTAAACATTACTGCATAAGTCATTTCTCAAGTTGCAGTGTGCTGATAGTCATGCGGTGATGAAAGCGAAAAATAATAAATAATGATTTCCCAGGTCAGCATCACTGCCAAAGTGAAATAAAGAATTAGGACTCTCCAAGTTTTACTATGAAAAAATATCAAATGGGCAAGTGAAAAGCATAAAAAAATTTTCTAAGAAAATAAATAAGTTGCTGGTGATCCAGAGATCCGGATTATAGAAAATTCCGGATAGCTGACGTCCAAATTTCAGACCTTGTACTGTAATACTTTTCTTGCCAATGCTGCAACATCAGGTTATTGATCTGCAGACACTGACCTATGGCATCATACTTGCACACAAAGAAAGCAGTTATCCTGAGCAAATGTTATAAGGTATTTCTCCCACTTTCCTAGCATCCTTCGTGGTTCTGCACGCTGGGCCGGCATTCCACAGGTCCGTGGTTCGATTCCCGGCGAAGGCA